TCATCCAGACTATTGCAGTAATGTTCTTTTGGTTTGTGGTTGGGATTTTTTAAATTTTTTTTTCCAGATCACTGATTTTTTTGAGTCATTCCTACTGATCAGTTCCTATCTTGCTGTCTTGCTCAATAGCACTGAGCCACAGATGTCCAACTTTCCAATGTTTACTCCTGCTTACAACTACACATCTCCACCCATTTGGAGAACTGATGGGTTTCCCGTAAAATCCTAACATCTGTACTGCAAAAAACCAGCAGCAAACCTCTCTAGAAGCACTGTAGCAGCACCACTTATTCCTGCCTCAGCCTACCTCGTGTAATTTGACTCTCAGAGCTTTAAGTAAAGCCAGCATTTGATGAATGTTTCTGTAGAGCCTACCACAAACAGGACCCTAATGAAGAAAGTTTTCCTCTTTCTGGCTGGAGCAAAAACAAGCTTAAACACACTCTCAGCTCCATCCTGTGTCAGAAAAAAAAACAGCCTCGATGCATACTGAAATACAGGATTTCCACAGGACTGGGCACCAGGGAGATGCATGACCTGCAACAGGGGAGGTGAATCAGGAGGTTAGACAGTCACAGTTTTCTTTATAATGTACTCACATCATCTTTTCAGCTGTTAGATACACAAATATGGGATTACATTGCCATGCCTGGTTGCCTTAGGGGCAGTGTACAAATTACAAATAAGCAAATATATGGATTTCTTGACTTCCAAGGGATTTTTTGAGATTAACTACTTAACCCCTAATTACACCAACACTAGCTGGCTAATGAATAAGGTGAGACAACACCCTTGGCTGGTAAGATGCACAATGGAAAAAAAGGAATTTCATCCCATGGAGGAAACAGGCTCATGGATCTGGCAGTCTTACTGTGCAGATTTCCCATCTGGGAAAAAGGAATATCTGAAGTTTCACGTTGTACTGTAGGATCACTGTACAAGAAGGTATGAAATCCCATGGCTTTGCTCTGTGCAAACAAAGGGTCCAGGTGAAACAGGTCCTACCTGGACAGGCACTTTTCCCCCACTGTTATAGCTGATGAGTGTGAGAACAACCTACCTCCTAGAAGATTTTAGTTTAGCTGTAAGGGACGCTTCTGTTCCTGCATCATCCATGTGCTTTGCACTTCAGTAATCTTCACTTCAGTCCCCTGACAGGACCAGGCAAAACAGAGCAATGCCTTACAAATAATTCCAAAGCACCCACACCCTGCAAACTCTGCACCCCATGGAATGGCTGTGGCCTGTCGTGACAGACCCATGGAGATTTTTTATGCCAAAAGCCTACATGCCAAGAAGAGCTTCAGAGACTCAAGCTGCAGCACCACTGTCTTCAAGCTAGCAAGAGGGGTAAGGATAAACACAGCATCCATGACTACTGCATGTGGCACTTGCCCTGTGATCCACAGAGTAAAATACCAAATGCATTCCCTTGCTCCTATCAACCTTCTCATTACTTTGGGGAACACAGGCTTACTCAGAAATCTGATACAGAGGAGCCAGACCATGCTAGAGCCACAGCACCTCCCCCAGATGAATTCGGGATCGTTATATAGGTGATAAATTCTACTCTCATTGAGAGAGCAGCAGGGCTTGGGGACCCATCATTTGTGTACTTGCCCCCACAGAGGCCCTTAGCCTAGCTAGCTGAAAAAACACAGTGTTTATGGAGTATATTTAATGGCTGAGCCACTTCTCCATTGTTCGAAAAAATGTTAATAGTTCCCCCACCTTTGTCTAATTATTTTCTTCTTCTTTCCTGCTTTCTTTTTGTTTTGACTCCTTCCCCTTTCTGTGTCTGACTGCTTCAGCTTGATAGGACTTTGATTTCCTCTTTGGCCCAAGATTCTGCCTTCAATACCATCTTCTTGGATGATCTACGCCAGTGGCACTGGGCACTTCTGTCCCCACAAGTGATGGGCTTCATCCTCCCCACAAAAGCATATTTCAGTAGTATTAGACCTGTTCAGAAAAGCAGACAGCTCTTGAGTACTGTCAGGTCCTTATTGTTTCATACAGGAAGAGCCTGTTTATAGCCTGGGGCTTGCAAGGAATTTGAAATGCTTTCTTCCACTTGGAGGGCAAGCAGCTGAAGAGAGCAGGAATCCTGCCTCCCCTCACAAATATCTTGGCATTCCAGATATCAGCCTTACCTTTAGATCCTGCAGCCCAGTAAATATGCTATCACATATCCCAGTGCTTACCCAGCCTATGCAATCTGATAGGCCACCTATACTGAAGGGGGTGATTAACATCTAAGAAGGGATGGGAGGTGACCTTCCACACAGCCATGATATATATTTTGGGAAGAGCAAGGCAAAGTCAGAAGGTCTTACTAAACTCTTTGATCATTTAAGTTTCTGGTTACCAAATAACCACCAGTATCCTTTCCACAAACGCATTTATTCTTAGCTGCATGAATTCCCATCCCCACTTCTGCAATATTAGTGTCTACTCCTAAGCTACATACTCCTAAGCTACATCTTTCCTCCCAGCTACCCCATCATCCCCCAGCAGCTCCAGTAACCCATTCCCCAAATGCTCTCCTTTTCCTGCCTGAAAACATGCCATGCATCTTGCTTGCTGCTCCCTTCTCTCACCTTCTACAACATCCCAGTCACTTGACATGAGCAGCCAGCAGGACACACTTTGAAAACTTCCACTTCTAAGACCTCCACACAAAGAAAGTAAGAGAATCTGCTTAGTTCATGGAGTTCTCATAGCTTCTCTCGTTCCCCTGACAGTTGTACAGCTGTTACATCTGCTGCTGCTAACTAGACTCGTTTTCAGCAAAGCACAGCAGGAGCTAAAGAAACCTAATTCTGGCAACGTTATAACACCAGAAACACTCCCCCACTTTCATTAATTTCATGCTCTGCTTTTTATTTTCTCTAGTCCCTTTTTTCTTCTCCTCCTCCTCCCTTTTTTTCTGGCACTGTGAACTTTTTCACCAGGTCAGCAGCAAACAGGAGCAGCTCAGCTGGGAGCTCACACCCCCTCGCTGCTGCACAAAGAGTGGAGGTGGCTGGCACTGGGTGCCTTCGCAAATACCAGCCCCCTTAGGGGATGCCACATCAGGTATCCATGGGAAAAGAGTTGCTGAGGGCATGGTTTCATAAGGACATGGATATCACACACCCATAGCACGTGTGTCCATCTGAAAATGGGACTCACCACCTTACTGTCTTTCCTGCTCTGTGTACAACATGTCGTAAAGCACTTGAAAAAAAAAAGTGATAAAATTATAGTAAGTCAGGCTGGTGGTGATGTGGCCCCATAGGTCACTAATTAAGTCACATTTCACAAAAATATGGGAAAAAAGAAGAAAAAAAATCAAGATCAACACTTTCTCCATTTGACCTCAAGTGCCTTGGACAAAAGGCTCCACCCTTCAGGCTGGAGCACATTCTGGAATGAAATTGACTCAAATCTGAAGTGGAAGCTCCTTGAAATGTCAAAGAACAACCTGTATGAGATCTAGCCCTGACAGAGGGATCCCAGTGGAAAGAAGCAAGACCTAGATGTTACAAAATACAGACTTTGAGGGCATTACTGACAGAGACCAGAGACAAGGGGGCATCAGCAGCACTGGAAATCCAAGTATTGCTCTCAAAGGGCTAACAGTGGGTGCCAGGGGGCAAATGGCAACAAACACCTTATATTCCCTTGCCCACCTCCTAGCTGGGCAGACAATCAGTATCCATGACAAGGGGAATTAGTTTTCACTGTTTTCAAGGTGTTGTGGTCTCAACGCTGCCCAGTATGAACAAAGTCCAAAAAAAAAGAAAATCAAGAAGACCAACAATATTGACATGCAGTGTAATAAATTTTGAAGGCTTGGAAAAAAAGCATAGATGCATTTTCAGTCAAACAATATAGACAGAAAGTCAGGTTTCAGAGGAGAAAATGATGAGATTTCATAGGTTCATGTTCAAGGCAGGGCTTAGACACAGTAACAGGCGTGGGGATCTGAATGTCACTGTCAGGGAGAAGAGCAGAAGTGCTGGGGGTGATGAAGAGTGGTGCTTTTGGGAAAAGGCCCAGGTTTCCCACACAGAGTTCCAGATGTTGGTGGGGGATGATGGAAGACTAGAGAAATGGTGAGGCTCTGAAATAAAGAGATGCTAGCACAAGATGTTGGGCAGGAACAAAAAAAAGCAGAAGAGGAGAACACTGCAAAATACAGAAAATAGCAAAGTTGGTGGGAAAAAAGTGAGAGACTCCTAAAGATGACTGGGGCAACACTAGATATTCCTGTGAGAAGAGCTTTGGGACTATGATTTTGAAAATAAACTTTGAGGTATCCCTTTAAGTATTGGAGAATAAGAACTTGGCAAAGCTCATGTCAATAGAGGGAATATGGAAGGAGTTTGCTCCATTCTGCAAGTTTGCAGCATGTGGAAGTGATTATAGGAGTGATTCCAAGAGCAATGCTATATAAGAGATCTGGGTTAATAACATTCAATAATAACATAGTACAGAGTAGAGCTGTAGCCAAAGAAGAAAAAAAAATATGCCAAGAGCTGTATAAGCCTATTTTCTGAATAAGATATAAAAGAAGGACAGCAAGTCAAATTGAAACCTTCCATTGATTTCTCTGCAAGTTTCTGTTGTTAACTATAATTCCTTTCTCTAAAGCAGTCCCTTGTTTCACCTTTAATCACTTAAAATATTTGGACCAGTAAAGGTGAAGTCAAAACTTCAACCACAAAATAAAGGACTTTGACTCCCTGTTCTGTGGTAAAAAGTTGAGAGGTTTTTTCTCAGCAAGAAACTCTGGCATCATGGATTTTCCCTCCAGTTCAGAAAGGACACCCATTTTAAAACCCTTTATTTTTTTTTTTAACAAAACAAAAGTAAAATAAAGGAAAAGGACTTCTAAATTTCACACTCAGAAGGAAAATTATTCTTTCCAACCAGTCAGGTTTCATTGTTCTCCCGTAGTGGCAAGATACTGTTCACCAGTTTGGCAGCAGTTACAGATTTCAAAAATTACATACCTGCTCAGTAGATGCTCAGGGTTTTATATTCAGAGAGCCTCAGTTCAGACCATCAAGAGGACTCTCCCAAGTGTATCACTGCAAGCTGCTCACCTGTAAAAAACAAAAAAATTAATTAATTAAAGCTACCTTTAAATTGCTGTGGGCCCACAGGTAGGCCTAGAGGTAAAGTAGCAGTAACGTGGGAAAATGATAGCCTTTTTTAGTGATAACTAAAAAAGTACCAGAACTACTTAGGTGTTTAATACCCCAAGAGAAAGAAAAGAGAGAAAGAAACCACAACCCTGGGCATTCCTTCCCAACTTTATTGTTTATAGCTCTGAGAACTAACATCCTGCAATCACTTCACATGGCTAACACATCCAACTGTGCCAGGTATGGGAAAGTCCCAGCGAGCCCCACTTCTGCAAACCCCTCTTCTGCCCCAAAATTCCCTTGCTGCTGCGCCCATCCCGTGGTGCACACCTTGGAGATCATCCTGCCCTCGCCTTGTCCCAGGTTTTGAGAGTTCCTTTGTTACCTTGCTGTGCCCTGGAGCCCCGGGCTGGTCTCTGGCAGCTCAGCTCCCATGCTCGGCAGGGTTTTCTGCAGGGCTGCTCACAGATCGCCCCGGCATTTTATCGGCGCCGCGCGAGGTGAGCACGGACACGATAAGGAAGCGCTAAAAGTCAACGAGGTGCCACTGACAAGGACTGGAGCTGGGCTCACGCTTCCCCACGGCCCACGTGTGTGCTGACACTGAGCAGCCCAGGCTCCTTCTCACCAGCTGCTGCCTTGGAAGGAGGCACCTTTCGCCCTCTCCTCTCGGTGTGCAGCCTCCTGTCCGTCCGTCCATCCATCCCATCTCCATTGGAAGCAGTCACAACTCCAGCCCTGCAGCGAACAAATTTTTTCTTATGGAAGGTCCAAGGGTTCCTCAGTGAGCATTTAAGAGGTTTTTCTTTGCTCAAACACACTGATGGATGTGTCTCCTGGTTGCTTCATGCCTGCCCACCCTTCCCTCCCAGGGAGGAAAGATTTGCTGCCTGAAGTGACTTCTTTCCCAGGCAAGCATTCCCGTATGCCTGGAGCAGAGCCCCCAGCAGCATGCCTGGCATACACTCCACAGAGATTAGCCCCCTGCTCAGGCAAGCCCCAAGATCTGGGAAGCCTGCTGTGACTAGCAGCTTGATTAGGACTTGAGTGTTTTCCACCAGATTTTCAGGGGAAGATGAAAAAGCTCATGAGAAATTTATTTCTGTTGTGCACCCACGGTCCCTGAGCTGAGTCCCACAAAAGAACAGGAGTTTAACCAGCTCACAGGGCAATAGATGCTGTTAGAGTAAAAACATCCTGGACCCATCCTTGCCACAGTGACCATTAACTCGACATGGCAAGAGCAGAGACAGCCCAGCTGGCCACAGACTGATTGGAGTGTTTCAAAACAGCCTGAAACTCAGGAATCTGGACCCAAATGTGTATCAAGGACATCCCCTCTACCTGAGCTGACACAGGTGGGGCCCAGTGGCTCAAAGCAACACTACTCTGGAGAGCAACCAACTCACCACAGCACTGCTACCAGGCAGAGACACACAGCAAACGCCCACAACCTCTGCAAGAAGTTAAAAGCCTCACAAAAGACTCCCTTGTATTCCCAGGGGGTGGGTGTGGTTGGCTCAGCTGCTCCCTTCCTCAGCTGGTGCCAATGAAGCCCTTATGAGGGACTTATGAGCCTCAGCACAGACAGCCAGGTCTGAAAAGCAATGTCCAGTTCATCTGCAGGGAGTCCCCACCTGTGCCAGGCTGAGCTGCACTGAGCGTTTAACCAGCCCAGCTGTGAGATCCTCTGACACCTGAAATTTGCATTCACAGAGAGAAGAGAGAGTCACTTTTTCTGGGTGTGTCCTTTTTGGAAAACACCTCCTGAGATACCCATGCTTTCTGTTTCCCAGTTTTCAAAAAACCATGGGCAAAAAGAGTCTCTCCCTACTCCCTGAGATCCAATACATCTCACCAATGGACCTCACAGGCAGTAGCAGAAGAGGCAGATCCTCCTGCTCACTCCAGCAGGCACGTAGGGTTTAGGGTGAGAGCTTGCTGTTGGGCCAGGCCAGCCCTCCCCATGCCATACCGTGCTTGTGTTGGCAGGCTCCACTTCCCGTGCTGCGAAAAACACATCCGAGGCTCCCAGGAGACTTAAACACGCAGGGATGTCACTAAAGGGAGATGTTTCTTTCCCAGAAGAAACAGATTTCCTATATGGGAGCTCTGTCACACACTGAGATGTGGATGCTGACCTGTTTATATTTGCACAGGGGGAAGAGGCTGTGACAGACCCTGCTCAAACATCTTGTAGATGCTATTTCAGCTTAATTTGAAAGAATTTCACCATTGCCTGTAACTTCTGCTTCTCTCTCCACTTCTGCTCCTCTCTCTGGTTCCTGACAGGCATCCTCAGCTCCTGACTCCTCCGTGCTGTCAGTCCTTGAGTGTTTTAGCCGAGAGCCTGGCAAGCTCCTCGTGGACTCCACGGACAGCGGCTGAAGGTCTGCTCCCACTCCCAGACAGGAGCAGCAAGTTTGCCAGTCTGGTAGGCTTCCCCCCAGCATTTTCACAAGCACTTGCTTACCTTGTTTGAGCTTCAGAGAGTTCAGTTTGGGGTGAAGGGTAGGTCAGCTCTTATCTCATATCTACACGCGCAAATGTAACCCTTACCGGTTCCCTTTGCAGCTCCAACAGTTCCTGCCCGGCGGCACTGCCAGGACCACGCTCTCCCCTCTGCTGAGACCTTTCAGCAGGAGGCAAGCAGGGCCAAAGAGCCACAAAGATGTCCTGGGGACCCCCCAGCCCTGAGGAAAATCCTGAAGGTCTTTGAGCTTTCTCCTTCACAGCCTTTGGTGTAGGTGAAGAAGCAGAGCCGCAGTTTCCCCTGCCTTGCTCCAGGCTGGTGAGAGGAGCTCTGGAGCAATGCTCAGGGATGACAGGGGCTGGGTGAAACCCCTGAAGAGGATCCTGCAAGGTCCTGTGAGATTTCAGAAATCCTTGCTGGCCTCCTTCTCCTTCTGGAAAATGTTTTTAGTACATCTGAGGTGGATTCAAGAGCTTGAGCTACTGGATCTTGCAGTTTGTTTAAGCAAATATCACTTCTGTCAATTTTCCAAATGTCTGTTCACACACAGACTGTCTTAGCATCTTGCCAGGGCTCTAAACATTCATCTGTGGAGAAATTTTCTGGAAACCTGTGCCTGCATCCCTGTCTTGCCTTCCAACCATTTAAAAACCAAACACATAAATATGAGCCCACATGGAAATGTGGGTGTGAAAGAGTGCATTATCTAAAGCCCTGCAGGTGTGTGTGACTCAGGGTGCCCAGCTCAGACCACAGTCACCTTGTCCTGACCACAGCACAGCACATCACACTCACCTCCAAGCCCAAACTAGCAAATCATACCCATATTCCTCACTGCTGGAGGCCACCACAGGACAAAGGCAGCAAAACTGAGTGGGGGTGGTGTGGGAAGGGAATGGTGGAGCAGGCAGAGACATGCGGCCCTGTGTGTTTTCTTTCCTTAAAGATAAAACTCTACCCCAGTCAAATGAGAAATCAGGAACAATGTAGGAATTTTAAAGAGGCCCGAGCTGCCACCTGACTCAGCGTCTGGGCAGGATATTGATTAGCAAGGCCATTCTTTATTCCTCTGCTATTGTTCGAGAGCAGCCTCCCCCATGACAGCAACAGGCGTGGGAACACAGCAGCTTTGGTGTTAAAAAGTGCTTTTATCACTGAGCTGAGGACAGGGGTCTCTGGGAACCAGAGATGGTTGTGTCTGATAGTCAAGGGAATGCATTCACACCGAGAACCTTATTCTGGGATCTCTGAGGTCCTGGGGCACACCAACACAATGCAGCACATCCCCCATCCACCATTTCTTCTGAGCTGTGTTCAGGTTCTGGTGAGTTCAGAGAGCTGCAGGAAGAAAGCACCTGTGCCTGCTAAAAATTCTTGGATTTCTCCTCGAGCTGCAGTAGCTGATGTGATGGCTGTTCCTACCAGACCTTGTTTTTGAAGAAGCCAGGTTGAGTTGTGTAACTTGTGTGGCACAGGACAGAGAACAAGCTCCCCACCAATGTCCTTATCCCTCCTCCTGAGCAGGTTTCTTGCCAGTTTTTTGCAGGGATTTCTTTTCAGGATGGGCTCCAGCCTGCACTAGCTACCACAATGATGTCAGTAGGTGAGGGCATCTCCTCCTTGTTCAACACACCAAACAATGTGGGGTGTTACACATCACTGCCACTTCAATTACCCAGCTGCCTGCAGCTGGCCAACAAGCCAACACAAGCTCTGACCAAGTGAACTGACAGACACTTACACAGCTTCCTGGGAGCTCCAGGCAGGAAAAAAATAAAATCTTTTGTTTCTGGTAATTCTCAGTACATTAAAAAGCTCAGTTCAGTACTTGAGCTCTTCTGATTTGGCTGAGTAGAGGAAAAGCAGTGATCAAGAACCAGGTTTTCAGCAAGCCAAAATATTTCTGGCTGTCCATAGAGCCATACAGTTGGCTTCTGATTTTATATTCTTTGTAGGTTTGTTCTTCATTTCCAAAAAAATCTCATCTGTAACCACCTTATATATACACATGGTGGTCTTTATTTTCACCCTTAAGATAAAATTATAAAATGGAAGTCCTAAAGGTGCTGCCTGGACAAACATCAATATACAAATTCATTTCACAGACACCTCAGCTGAAAGGGCACAGTGCACTAGGGAGTGGACCTCCAGACACAGCATGTGCTCTCTGCAGACACAAGACATTTATTCCAGCATCTAGAAATGCTCTGCAACATTGTCATGTAAAAATGCACAGTTTGGTAATAGCGTGACTGCACCAACTTTTTCTGCAGGCTTTCATGCTCCAGTTTCATTCTTTCCACGAATTTTTCACCTTCCCAAAGTTGAAAGGCAGTCAGGAATCAGCCAAGATTCTCCTCCTCCAATCTGTGACAAGTGGACAACCAAGCTAAACTTAGATGTTTAATAGCTGATGGTTTTCCTTCTACAAAAAGCAGATTTAGTGCACAAATACTGTTTTCCAAAGCTGGTGGACATGTTGTCTCAGGACTGACTGCCTCCCTGCCAGCTTGTACTCAGAGCAAGCCATGCACAGCTTGGGAATTCTGGGGCCCAGAGCTTGGCTCGCTCTGTTCATGGAGATACCACAGACACAAAAGGCTGGAGCCTCTTGGCTCTGCAAAAGCCAGCCCTACTCCAGCACCAACCTGCACATCAGTCCAGAGCTACACAAAGTAGCCACTGCAACAGCTCATCAGTTTAACAAGGTGTTGATTATGTTCTTATCCACTTATTTGGGCAGCCAGGAGTTGAGGAATCCATCACCTTATCCACTACCTAAAAACAGTCCAATAAATGCAGCAGGTTGCAATTTAAGGGATTTAATTTTCCCTCTCTCCCTGAGCTCAGTGGCACAGTCATACTTTTATTGTTTACTTTGTGACCTTCCTCCTCTTCCAAACCAGTGTGCTCTCAGAAAGTGAAGGCCCATCCAAAACTCACAAACTAAAGGGACCAAGGCACAGGTTCCAGTCTGCTCCCACTGTCATCAGT